TAGCCCTAAAACCCAATTTTACCGCACAAATAATGAATATTACCTAATATCAAACTTAAGAACTGACCGGGGTCTCACAACCTCCTCCTCTTAGAACAATTTCGTCCTCGGAATTGATATCTTTGTTCGTGAACCATAAATGCGGGGTTTACAAAAGAGTGCATGGCATCATTGTCTAGTAAACACTTCCGATACCCCGAAAAGAGAGAGCGTACCTTTGATGACTGCCGAAGGGTTAGTCACCTCTTGTTGGCCCATTGCATATACTCTAATTGGTCCTTTGGGTCGATTTTTCCCTACATTTGACGGCTTAGTTATGGTCCCTTCAGTCGGTGGCTTAGGTCTCTCTTTTTGCATCTTAAGGCATTGGGCAATCAGATGTTCTGTGTTACCATATTTAAAGTATTTTCGTACTGAACTATTCTTCCAACAATTATCATCGGTGTGATTGCCTCCGCAGAAACCATAGGTTTTCCTAAATCCTGCACTCGACCCTTCACGCTGGGTACCCCTCTTGGGCCCTTGCCCTACCTGACTTTTCCCAAAATTGCCCTGATTTGGGGTTCCTACGGGTCGTGAGCCATCTGTTCCTCGACCCATTTTAGAGGGTGGCTTGTTTCTCGAGCTCTGTCCATCCGTGAAGTTGCTCGAGTTAGGTTGCCTCCTTTTCTGGTCATGGAAAGCTTTGACTTGTCCCCTGGCAGTCTCAATTCTCTGAGCCCTTTTTAATACTTGGCTAAATGTGTCTAACTGAGCAGCTACTAGTGCCTCTTAAACCTCCATATTTAAGCTTTGGACGAAACGGCGGATTCGCTTTTGCTCCGTTAGCACCAAATCTGGAGCAAAGCGGGAGAGTTTTGTAAATTGAGTTTCATATTCCGCCACACTAGATGCCCCTTGGCGCAGGCGGATAAAGTCATCCTCACGTCTCTCTTGCACAATAGGAGGTAAATATTTCTCATTAAATTCCCGAGTAAAGTTAACCCACGTCTAGGGGGTTTGCTCCCACTCCCACTTAGTCTTGATCACATTCTACCAAGTTCGGGCAGCCCCCTCAAACTGAAAAACAGCAAAGGATATCTGCATCTCCTCTGAATACCTAAGCGCGGCAAATATATCCAACATACGGTCTAACCAACCCTCCGCTAAGTCAGTATTGGGTCCACCTATAAATTTCGGAGGTGCAAACTTTTGGAACCGTTCTAAAGCACGGTCCTCTCCCTCCTGATTACCAGGATTATGTCCAGGATTTTTGTCATTACCTCCCTGGCCCTGAGCCTGTTGGTTAACCATCCGTTCTAACTGGTCAGCCATTCGTTGGATAGCTGTAGTTACCTGATCTGGCTCGTTCTCATTTTCTCCTTCGGGGCCTCGTCCTCGCCCTTTACTTCTACCTCGACCACCGGAATCCATTTAAGTTCAAAAGTCTATAAATCGAAATATAACGTGTACTTATTATTCAAGCCATGAACGAAATAAAGAGCACAAAGCATATATACAAAATACACGCAAAAGATAAGTTCAAAAGATTATACTCAAATATATACGTATATTTATAAAGTTATACCAAAAGATATACAAGTTATCCGACATCCGGTCGGTACAAAATCCATTATTTACATGAGCACTCATGCTCCAAAATTGTAGTCAACCACCAGATAACAAAAGAAACCATGTGTACTGGTTATAACAAAACAAACATGTTACATAGTCAAAAGGAAATCCCAACAACGGCCCTACGCGCCTCCCCTAGGGCCCCAATTCCCAACAGAACCTCAAGCATCTACCTCGTCCATCAGCTCTGGGCCGGTAGCTCGTGGTGGTGGCCCGCGGTCACATCTAATAGGACCTCACAGTCCAGCATGATACCCCAAGCCCTCTCCCTCAGCTACCTCTTCAAAGCAAAAAGGTGTTGGTGTGTGTCATGGAGCTGACGATGAAGAGCGTCCATCCTCTCCACCTCAACTCGGAGGCTCTACTCCAAATCCCTAATACGCATATCCGCCTACGCAACACCCTATTCACCGGACCCCCCCGCACTCGGAGGTCTCGGTCCAGGTCCCGATCCTATGCCGCTGGGTCCCGTACCACTAGAACTGCCCGGATCCATACCTACAAACATTAATTCATTAGTTCATCGGCATTTCAACTTAAAATATATCATTCATTTTAAAAGAATCATATATGCCTAGTGCCTATTGCGTATGTCCCCATTACCCAAGTCCTCTAACCTAGGCGCTCTGATACCACGTGTGACGGTCCCACTTTTCCCAAGGGCGAACACGAGGATATCGGCGGAACGCCTGCCTAACTTGCACCAGGACTCAAAAGCACAAAGCAATAAAATTATATAAATCTAAAAGATCACCATTCACAATATAAACAACCCCAAAAGAGTTCTATTTACATCCTTAAAAGTATCTATTCAGACCACTACATTACACTATGATAACAACCAGCAGAAAGTGGACCCTAAGGAGGGTCTTTATACAAACCACCAAAACAAAAAGGAACATCTTAATTGTCCGGTTATTACAAACCAAGCCTAACTATTCTAGTGATAGTGCCAAAAGTTTCCCCGCGTCGGCTCCTGTTAAGAAAAACAAAGGGAAAGGGATAAGTTATATATTTAGTAAGTAAACAGGGGTAAAAACATAAATTTCACATTAAGACAAACAATTACTTTACAAGGATGTCAAATCACAAGTAGAAAAGTAACAACACAGTTAAGGATACAGGTTTGCTCTAAAGCCAAGTCGTTTGCCAAGCGTGATCTCCTGCCGACACTCCGTCGACCACATATACGGGTCCGTAGAACTCCACTTATACTCCCACTGTACACCCTATCACTCTCACTGGCCAGTCACCTCACAAAATTGCTCGAGCGAACGAAACGAAATTGAACTTGTTTCGCAAGCTCGGTTCACAACTTGAACCTACAAACTTGGTGACCTCAAGACTAGGTTGGACTAGTTTCGACCAAACTCCGGCCTACTCGAAAAGTCCGTCTAGGTCTTGAGATCGGGCCACACAAAAGTCACTCCGAGCTACAAGGTCAAGGGGTTCAACACCAAAATAATTCATGTATACACATCTCACAAAGGAGCACATGTGCAAATTAGGGTTTAGGTCGAGTGTGATAAAGTATACTCTCGCCTAAGCACCCTTACATTCATTTCAAAACACATAAGAAACGTATACAAACAAATGACCTGAGTACTTACTCAAAAGAAAGTATGGTAACTAGGGCTGCAAACGATTCGACCCGCTCGCGAGCCGCTCGAGTCAAAGCTCGACTCGAGTTCGGTCAAGCTCGAGCTCGAGTCGAGCTCGAGCGGCTCGTTTATAAATCGAGTCGAACTCGAACCATCCTATATTAGGCTCGTTATCTCGTCGAGCCGCTCGTCGAGCTTTGTGAAATTACAAAAATACCCCTATTTATATAACTAATTACTAAGTTATACCACATTGAATTCGAGTAATGAGTAATGACTAATGAGTAATCAGAGTATCAGGCGACCAAAAATTACTTCTCCTCTCCCGCATCTTTGTTTGGTCTTTTACTCTTTCCTTCGCATTTTCTCAAGCCCTAGCCATCGCCGCCAGGCCCGCCGCTATCCACGCTGACCACAGCCACCACCGCCACTGCTACCCTTCAGGCCTCATTCGACTGCAATTCGACTTCATTTGAGAGAAACCTTCTTTCTCTCGAAGCAATTCGACTGCAATTCGACTTCGTCGTTGGCTCAGCTGTATTCGGAGTCCAGGGAGCAAGAAGGAGCAAGAAGAAAAAGGAAATAAGCGACGGGGAGAAAGGCTGGGGGGGACTTCGGAAAGGCAAGGAAAATTGAAAAAAAGAGAGGAAAGAAAACGGGCAGCGGACGACGGAACAAGGAAAAAAAATAGAGGGAGTAAAAGAAGGAGAAAAGAAAGAACTTTGGGGCTGGAAGGAAGAAGAAAAATCGAAAGCCAGGCCAGAGAGAGTAGGAGGGGGTTTACGGGCAAGAAAATCAGAGGGTGAAAGGCAGCCAAAGATAGAGAAAATGAGGAAATCTGGAATTTGGGGGGCGATTTTCGGGGACTAAACGAAAGAGACAGAGAGAGATAGAAGGAAAACGGGAAATTGGGAGTGAGCTTGAGAGAAAAAAAAACAGAAAGAAAGAAAATCTGGAAGAAGGGAAAGCAGGGGAGGCTTGCGGCTAAGAAAGAAAACAGAGCAAAAGAAAGCAGCGGAGGAGGAGCCGGAACTGCCACCAATTCGTCGGAATCCACCGCTGCCACCACCAGAATCTGCCCGTATTACTTGCAAAACTTCACCAAGCAATATCACTGTAAGCCGTTTTCTTTTCCTTTCTGTTTAAATATCGGTTTTCTGTTTTCCCTTCTTCAAGAGTAAACGCTGGAAATTCCAACCCCAAACATGTCTCTGTGAATTGGTTATTGCAATTTCCTTGATTGATTGTTCATCATTTTTTGATCGTACGTGCTTTTATGGCTAAGTTTGTTTATACCCTTGACCTGTTCGATGAAATGCCCAATTGAGAATCCTCCTTGCAGATGATTTTTGCCTGTGTGTTACGTGTGAAGAAAAATGAACATTCGGTTGGCTTATTGCCTGTCCAAACCTAATAGCTAATTTTTCCTGGTAAAAAGCAGTGTTTTGAGAGGCTTTGAGGTGTTGGCTCTTTGCACTTTTTCTGTCTTTATTTCTTTCTCTATGCTTCTCTATGTTTGAATCCGAATTGATGTTAGGGGAGGGACGTAAATCATGCATTCAACACTTAATAATCAGGAACTAAATCATAAACCCTCGGTTGCTGCTTATTTCCATCAGCTTTAAAGAGAAAGCGTCTTTGCAGTTAAGTGCTATTTTTTTGGGGCTGGTTAAGTGCTATTTTTTTGTTAGTTCTATGTGTTTTGTAGTATTGAATGTTTGAGAGTAAAAGATGGCTGTCTAATCATGTTTTGTTATTTTCCTTTGTTCATAGTTGGATCATAATATGGATAAGTCTGTCGAAAATGCGTCTTCACAGCTAGGTAGCACTGGTGCGAATTCCACTAGTCCTGTGAATATCATTGATACAGAGGGTGGAAATGACAACGAGGAAGAGCTGGAATACTCTCTTGGCGATGAAGAATTAGGAAGCGAAGAGGAGCAGTTAGAAGGCGATACACAAGCACCTGTTCAAAGATCAAACCAAGATGCTATTGAAGGTGATACTCTAGACGCTTTTAAAAAGAAAAAGAGAGCCAGAAAATCTGAAGCATGGGATGATTTCGAAGATGTGGAAGTTGGGTCTCAGAAGACAATTTACTCAGAGTGTAAGCATTGGCAGTCTAGATTCAAAAAGACGAAAACCGGTACAACTTCAAGTTTGTTAAGGCATCGGAAAAATTGTCCAAAACGATTGGAGAAACTCAAAATAGTAGAGGCACGCCAGCAAAAACTCAATTTTCCAGCTGCTAATTCTAGCTCAAATGCTCATTCCCTCCTTCATACTAGCAAGTTTGACATGGCTGCCATGAGACAAAGCGCGGTTGAGTGGGTGCTTATGCATGAGCATCCCTTTTCAATTGTGGAGGAAGATGGCTTCAACTTAATGATGAAAAAGGAGATGCCTGAATGGCAAAAAATCAGCCGGACTACTAACAAGAAAGATTGTCTTTCCGTGTATGAAAGAGAGAAGCAGAAATTGAAACATTTGTTAAGTAAAGTCAAGAAAATCAGCTTGACCACAGACCTTTGGAAGTCCAAGAACCAAAAAATTGAATACATGGTTATAACTGGACATTGGATTGACTGCCAGTGGAGATTACAAAAACAGGTCCTCAACTTTGTGCATGTTCCCTCTCCACGTCCGGGCATTGCCATTGCAGATGCTATTTACAAATGCATGTTGGATTGGGGCATTGAGAGCAAAATTTATACAGTGTCAGTTGATAACGCGTCAAATAATGACACCGCACTACGATGTTTGAAGGACACCTTCTCGAGAAACAAGTGCTTGTTGGCCAAAGGAAAGTTATTCCATGTGAGATGTTGTGCTCACATACTTAACCTGATGGTTCAAGATGGCCTTAGTGAAATTCAAGGAATAATTCATGACATACAGGCAAGTGTAGAGTTTGTAAACAAAACTGAAGGGAGGTGATTGATCTTTGGTGAAATTGTACACCAGCTACGATTGCCTGAAAGAGTGCTGATTTATGACTGCAAAACAAGGTGGAATTCGACCTATGAGATACTAGCTTGCGCTTTCAAGTTCAATGAGGTGTTCCCAAGATTCAAAGACAGAGAGTCAAGCTATACTTTTTGTCCTTCCACAGAAGATTGGGAAAAGGTAAAAAAGGTGTGCAGTATTTTAGGAGTTTTTTGGAATGCGACTCATATAATATCTGGGAGTGATTATCCGACAGCTAATTTATATTTAAATGAAGTTTGTCGGATAAAAACGCTTCTAGATAGCAGAGCAAACGATGAAGACAGCTTTATTCAAGCAATGGTCTGGAAGATGAAGATGAAATTTGACAAGTATTGGGGTGAGTGTAACCTGATGATGTCCATAGCAGCCATCTTGGATCCCAGACTCAAGATGCGAGTTATTAACTACTGCTTTCCACTGATATATCCTCAACATGAAGTGTAAGCGAATATAAACAAAGTCCGGCAAGCATTGTATGATTTATATGCCGAGTATGTGCAGGTGCATGTTTCAAGTTCAAGAGATTCTGGAGCAAACTCTCAAGTAGTGACAAATGATCCCGGTAGCAAGAGTAGCAATAGTTCATCATCTACAATGACACACGTTACTGGAATGTGTGAATTTCTATCTCACATTGCTACTGTGGAACCCGTTCAACCGGAGAAAAATGAGCTAGATATCTACTTTGAAGATGGCCTTCTCAGTGCTATGGATAAGTCGAGCCTGGATATTGTCAACTTAGATGCTTTGAAATGGTGGAAAAGCACAACAAAATACAAGATTTTGCCTAAGATGGCTGCGGATATTTTAGTCATTCCTGTTAGCACCGTAGCTTCAGAAGCGACATTTAGTGCTGGAACTAGAGTGCTTGATTCCTACCGTGCTTCTTTAGCTCCAGAAACTGTAGAGATGTTGATGTGTGCTGGGGATTGGTGTCGTAGGCTACACGGGGTGAAGAAAAGGGATAAGATAATTATGTTGCAAATTACTATTTCATCTATTACAATATGTTTTATAGTTGGCTTAATCTTGGTCTTTATTATTTTTTTTACTTTGCAGAAAATGAAGTCAGCACAAGAGATTTCATTGCCTATTCCTTGAACTTTTTCATGTTTTAGGTAATCTATATTCTCAGTTTTTTGGCTGCTGATTTCTTTATATGTGTATATGATTTATTAGTGTATTGGCTGTGCTTCATTGCAACTAAAATGGAAGTTATTTGGCTGATTTTCTTGGCTGTACAGCAACTGCATGTGAAACTGTGTAATCACTCATAGAGACACATTAGGATGATCAATATAAGCTGCTCATATGACTGACTAGCTTGCACTCGAATGTGAATGTGAATGAATATAAGATGCTGCTTTATGTAAAATGAAGTGATTTATGATTTAGAAGATGTTGTGAATTGTGATGCTGCTTAACCTTTTATGTTTAGTAAAATCTTCTTTATCTGCTACCATTTGTTGGTATTTTTGTGGAAGGGGTTCTGCATTAGGCTGGAAATCTCCCATCTGTAACTTAGTTTGGAAAATATCCTTGGCATAGCTGCTCATATGACTGACTAGTTTACAGTTTTGGCATAGCTGAAGGGGTCAAGTTATTGCTGTTTATATCCTTGTTAGGATAGAAATGGTGTTAGCATTGAGTGTGCATGGTGCTCGTTTGGATTCCTAGTCTGATCTAATTCATGTCGCAAATGGTCAATTTTTTCAATGGAGATTTGCTTAAACAAAAGGAATTTTTTCGAGAATTGCGCTTTTTTCGAGATTTGCTTCAATGGAGATTTGGTTTAGCATTTGCAGTGATGTTTTGGCTGATACTTCTTGGCATTCCTGACTACCATTTCAACGTAAGCATCCAGCAAAAGTGCTTAGTGATGTTTTTGTGTAGCTCCTTGATTGGCACTTATTTATTTTGGGACGTATTGAGCAGGTTGGAGCTGGGACTATGAATCCTCTGACATTTCTAAGAAGACAAGAAGTTCGTGACTTCAATGACTCCAATGACTGGGCTTAGTTTGTAATTTTTAATTCAATATGTTTCTGTAGTAAGAAGTTCTTGGCTTGCTTTTGGTTGTTATTTACTTATTTTCTGATATTGAACTTTGTGACCGAGAATGTTGAACTTGTATGAAGTGTTGGGCATTTAAATTCTAGACTTATGTGGTATGTATTTCTAAATTTATGATTGTATTTAGTGAAAAATTTGTAGGCCTTTTTTTATTATGATAATGTGAAAAATTATGGTCAATTGTACGCATGAATTGTAAGCTATGATTATGCTCATAATTTGGTTAGGAATTAGTTGATAAAATGATATTTTTGTTAGATTAATTCCCAAAATTCGAGCTAACGAGCCGTTAACGAGTCAAAAATTCGAGCTCACAAATCGAGCTGCTCGCGAGCTTTAACGAGTCGAGCTCGAGCTTAGTTTTTTTTAGTCAAGTCGAGCTCGAGCTCAATTCTCTAGACTCGTCGAACTCGAGCTTGAACTCGAGCCCATCTATTTCTAAGTCGAGCTCGGCTCGATAAGTCCAAAACTCGACTCGGCTCGACTCGTTTGCAGCCCTAATGGTAACAGAGCGAAAATCGCGTCACGTATAATAGCTAGTAGGCCCCACTGGTTCCGTCTAGCTCACCACCGTCTGAAATAGAAGATTGTACCATATTATTCCACAAACGGCTACTAGAATGCATAAATCAAGTAAAACGGCAAAATTGGCACATGCAAGTGCGGAAACGGCAAACGAAAAAGGAATCGGCCGGCAAACGGAAACGGCAAATTTGACACATAGAACTGTTTTGATCAAAGTTCAGGCTACAGGTGTCGGATCAAAGTGCATGAGTTACCATTATGAAGTTGAGAAAAAGGGCTACAACTTTTATGAAGACACCTCAAGTCAGATCTCAATGGAACTAGGATAAAAATGCACAAAACAGTTCCAGCCATTTCATTTCGGGTTACCAAACAGGCCCTGTTTGAAGGACCATAACTCACGACTCAGAGATCGGAATCAAGAAATTCCAAAGGCGTTGAAAAGCTAATTTATAAGGCTACAACTTTCATGTTTGGATCAAAAGCTGAATCAATACAGAGCATGGGGAAAAATGGGTCCAAAGTTCCTGTCAGAACTGTCCAACCTCAAAGGTAGTTCTGACACCCGATCTTGTTTTGGGTATAACTAAAGCTACGGAACTCGGATTTGGACGCATTTATACCGTTTTGAAGCTGAAACAAAGATATACAAGTCTTATAAAGACCTCAACACCCAGTTCCTTCGTTATCAATGTGAACTGAGCATGGTCAGAAGCAAAATCAAGAAACATCATCAAATTTCACAGTTTTACATAACTATTAGTGTTTTCGTCATAACTCAGGATCTACTAATCGGATTGGGTTGAAATTTTGCAGCCACAATAAGGACTTAAGAAGCTACAACTTTCATGTTTTGGACAAACTCTGAATCAATATGTAGCACAAAGAAAAATAGAGCCAATGTTCGGATTCTGGGTTTCGCGCGCCGCTACCGCACAGTCAGTTTCTATGGTTCTCATACCAGCTTTCTAACCAAATTCCTACCAAATAAACACACACTTACCAGCTCCTAATAGCTCCGCAAAAGACCTGAAATCCCTCTCCCAACTTAACCTCAAACCTAGCAACTACTAACCATTTTTTATGCTCTAATCATACAAGTTTCATTAACCCCCAAACCTATCTACTCAAACCCTAATCATCTAAGCCTTAACTCAACTAAACTAACTTTCCTTAGAACTAAGGTTTCAAGGCCAAACCTGATTTTGCTAAGAATCAACCATATAAATGAACTTATCTCACCAAAGATTCCATTTACAAGCTAAACAATCAATCAAATCAACTTGAATAACCATGGAGCAAGAAACCCTAATTTTTCCATAGCCTTAACCGCAATTTGGGCAGCAATAAACCAATAAAATAAACCATTAAACTACTCAATATTCACCAAACAAACCATACAAGCTCCCAATCACAATAAAACATCACTTTCATGACTTCACAACTTAATCACCAAACTTTAATTTTCAAGAGAGATGATTTACCTTCAAGCAAGCTTTATAAGTGATGGAGTTACCATAATCAAGTAGCAAGGTTGTTGCCATAGGCTCCAAGCTCAAGATGATTGGCTAAACTTGAAAGAAATTGGAAGGAATTTTTTGCTTCTCCTCCTCTCCTCAATCTCGGCTCTCTCTCTCTTTCTCTCTTTAATCTTGTTTTGTTTTGTTTCTTATGTTGGTCTTGGAAATCCTATGATATATAAGATAAGTCAAAACCTTGGAAGATATTTTTCCTTAACAACCAATCACATAAAAGCTTCAATTTTGCTCTTTAACCCTTACACTCCAACTTTGCATGTGATCAACTCTTGCCCCTAAACATTTAATTCTTTCCAAATTAGTCCATAGGTCATTAAGTTAATCTAATCCAAACTAATTAATCTTACTTAGTTTCTCTACTAATCATCCCACTAACTTAATCATCTATACTTAACCATGCATTAGCATACACAAATGCAATTAAACAACAAGCTTTTGTTCAGGGGAAATATAAAGGGTTTAAACCCAACTTAGAATTCTAAAAAATCATATCACTAGAAACTTTTTCTAGTTTAGGGTTTTTCTGTGAGGCCCCAGTCCGTTCTACGTTGATATATTCATTAGTTGGGCGGTAACGTTTGGTTTTGGGAGTATTTCGAAAACCCTAAGTAGGGAGTAAGATTTAAACCCTAGTTTTGTATTCATACAAGTTTGAGTGGTGATTAAAGTTAGTTATGTTAATGTGTGTTTTCGTGTGGGTAAGTATAGGATTTAATCCATTTTGTATAGGTTAATTAAGTTCAAGAAGGTTAGAAACCCTAAGTGAGCAAAATCTCCAATGTTAGGATTTATTAGAAGTTTTAAATTGGGTTTAAACCCTAATTTTACCCTTGACAAAAAGGTTATTGTTTAATTACTTTTATGTGGGATAAAGTATGCTTAAGTGTAAGTGATTAAGATGAGAAAGTGATTAGTGAAGTAATTAAGTGTGATTGTGTTTTTTAAACTAGATTAAGCTAGAACCTATGGAGTAAATTGAAAGATTATCAAATGTTTGAGGGAACATGTATAAGAAAGAGAAAGTTGAAGTGCAAGGGTTAAAACAACAAATAAAGCATTTTATGTGATTGGTTAACCTTAAAAATATCTCCCAAAGTCTTGCCTAACTTTGACTAACATGTTGTCTTATGAATTATAAGAGAAACAAGAAAAAACAAAACAAAACAAAATTGAGAGAAAAGAGAGAGGTAGAGCCGAGAGAGAGAGGAAGAGAAGGTGAGAAATTTTCTTCAAAAATCTTCAAGTTTTAGCTTCCATCTTGAGTTTGGATCTTGGAGTATCAACTTGGGTGCTTGATTAGTGAAGGTTAATCATCTACAAAACTTATTTGAAGGTATGCCTCTTACTTGAAAGTTAAACTTTTGGGGGTTTTAATCTCTAAGCTATGGAAATGATGTATTATGTTATGATGATGGATTTGTATGGTGGATTTGATGTTTATATTGAAGTTTCATGGTTTAATTATGATGATGATGTTGCTGAAATTTTTGATTAAGCTTATGAAAGAATGAGGGTTTCATGCTAAACAAGTTAACTAGCTTTAATTTTGTGCTATGGAGATTGTAGTGGTTGTGTTTGATAATTTGTCTCAATTGATTGGTTGGTTTCTAACAAAAATCTGATTTGGGTTAAGAAACCCTAGACTCCATTAGGTTAGTTTAGTTGAGCTTATGGCTTTTGAGTTAGGGTTTGTGTAGTTGGATGGTAAAACAAGTTCTATGGTGCAAATAAAATTTAGATTAAGCATTATGGTTAGTATTTGGTGATGTTGGGTTAACTTGTGAAGGAATTTTGGATCACTCTTAGACTGATATAGGTATGGTTGTTGGGTATCAAATTGGTTAGAAAAACTTGCATAAGAATCATAAGAACGGACCGTACGGTTGTGACG